GCTTTTGCAGTGCATTTCCACCTCATTCGAACCTTTGTTACACGGAGTTCATTGAGCGTTTTTTATAATTCACGCATCCTAGCGTCATCTTGCACGCAGCACAGACAGCTTTCTCTCGCGATTAAAGATTGTTGAGAAACAGCATGGGTCCAAGGCATCAAATCACGCAACCTTCATCCGCACAGCCAAAGCCGCGGTCCTTCATTCAAGCTGACTCCCCAGCAGCGTTCCGCTCGTATACAGAATCTGCGGATCCTATGACCTCTTCTGAAACATCTACCCGTTCGTCTGATTACTCCCCAATGGGTTTCTCGTCTCGTCGCAACACGCTGGACGTGCTGAGTCGACGGGCCATGTCGGGACCGATCGAGAGATCTCCGCCGTGCATCCCTTTCTCTTTCTCCCGCAGCAACGGTCTTCCCAGCCCGCTGGAGCCTTCCGCGTCGCTTCCGGCATCGTTCCGCACAACGAGCGCACATCCTGCAGCAGCGATCCCCCCCGCGACTGCGTCGCGCGATACCTGCGCTGATTCTGTTGCGCATGCGACTGTCAGTCGTCGTCCAGCGACTCAGCGGAGCGGTCCTATTTCGCAGCCGTTTAACGAAGCCCACAGATCGCTATACCGCATATCGCCAGTCGCGGTTTCAAACCCTATTGACGGCGATTTTGACCAATCCCGTAAATCCATGTCAGGTCCCATCAAACCCTCAGCATCAGCGTCGATTTCGCGATCCTTTCTCCCTGCCAATTCCACTCAATCTGGGCCCATAAGTTTCTCTTCGCATCTTGCCAACTCGAGGAACGGATCCCGACCGTCCGGATATTCTGACACGGCATCGTATGCTTCGGAGCAGCCATTGGGCCGTTCACAAGGACGGCGTGTCCGTTTCGCTGACGAAGAGCTGTCAGAGGGGGTCAGGGCTGATGGAAACGGAAACCGGGGGATTGATACAAGAAAGCAATTTCGTTTGAGTCATGCTTCTCCTCGCACAACGTTTTCCGGGCAGCACCTAAATGTAAATATTCCGAGAAGGTGGTCCAGTATAACCCAGTCAACAGCCGCCTTTGCTCTCCCCCCTCCTCCACTTTCTGCCGTGGGAGCTCCGTCAACTCCTCCTGCCATAGTCACCTGATGTGTTCTTGGAGGACAAAAGATAGGGAAAATATCGCTACGTATCTGAGGCCTATTTTTGGGGAAGTGCTATTTCTGGATACGTCAATATATAGGTGAATATAATGTTCGTACTTTTTTATGAAACAGTGAAGCTTATAGCGAGAAACTACGTTCTGGAAGGGTCGCTTGCCTGTTTGCTTTACCTCGCGTCTTTCGCGTCGGAGAAACTTTTTTTCGCGTTTACATGGCTTGCCACGCCATCGCCTTACAACCGTCAGATCACATCGTCAGGAAGCTTCACGAAATATCTGTCGGTAGAATTCTCGCTCCTAACCTAGGCGCAAAATCGTCGGCCGTGTGATCTTCGCGAAGCTTGATACATTTCACGGAGTACATTCCAGTATGATGCGGTTCGTGCTCCGCGTTTCGAGAATGTTCCGCGCTTCGCAATATTGTTCCACGCTCCGCAATCCAATGTCGATTGCTAGGGCCATTTCTGGTCCTCGAGCTAATCAGCCAGACCTAATGGTTTCAGTATAAAAAGCATCACTCACCATTCCACTCGACAATTAAGAATCGCTCAACGCGCTCTCCAAAGCTCTCATATCGTGCTATTGAACACCTAGTGAATTCCCGTGCGATCACGTCAGAAAGCTAGTTCTACATAATGGCAGTGACGGAGGTTGTTAATGCCACCGCTGCGACTGGCGCTCCGATGGATGTGCCAGCTTCAACCCAAGCAGTCAACGCAAAGGCCGCGGCAGCTGAAGACAAGGAAACCTTTGCCTTTCAGGCGGAAATCAACCAGGTTAGTGAAAACGCACGATAAACTGACGCATGCGAAGCTTTTGACGCGTTTTTCCATGAGTTGCCGTTTTCTCTTTACCAGTGGCTGAGTCCCTAGCTTCATTATTGATAAAGAGTTTTTTTCTTCACGAATCTCAACTCATTTATTTCTTTCCACTACCTCCCATGCCTGTGCGTGCAGCTGTTGAGTCTCATCATCAACACATTCTACAGCAACAAGGAGATCTTCCTTCGCGAGCTCATCAGCAACTCCTCCGACGCGCTCGACAAGATCCGATTCGCCTCTCTAACCGACAAATCCGCGCTCGAGTCGCAGCCGGAACTGTTCATCCGCATCGTGCCGGACAAGGCAAAGAAGACCCTCAGCATCATCGACAGCGGCGTCGGGATGACGAAAGCGGATTTGGTGAATAACCTCGGGACGATCGCGCGCTCCGGGACGAAGGAGTTTATGGAAGCGTTGGAGTCCGGCAGTGGCGACGTCAGCATGATTGGGCAGTTCGGCGTGGGTTTCTACGCGGCGTATCTGGTTGCGGATAAGGTAGTGGTAACCAGCAAGCACAACGACGACGAGCAGTACGTTTGGGAGTCGCACGCTGGCGGGTCGTTCACGATTCGTCGCGACACGGACGGAGAGAGGCTGGGGCGCGGCACAAAGATCACGCTGCATTTAAAGGACGACCAGCAGGAGTATTTGGAGGAGCGACGGATTAAAGACGTAGTTAAGAGGCACTCGGAGTTTATTAACTACCCCATCAACCTGTGGACGGTGAAAACCGTGAACAGGGAGATCGAGGAGGACGAGGAGGAAGAGGAGGAGGGACCTCACGGAGCTTCTAAGGAAGAACTTCTTGAAGAAGCAGAGGGAAATATGGAGGAGGTTGAGGACGAGGAGGGGAGCAGCAAGGGCGACAAGAACAAGAAGACGAAAAAGACGAAGAAGGTGAAGGAAGTGACGCACGAATGGCAGCAGCTGAACAAGCAAAAGCCGATTTGGCTGCGCAACCCTGATGAGGTCACTAAGGAGGAATACGCCGCGTTTTACAAGAGCTTCACAAACGACTGGGAGGAGCATTTGGCCGTGAAGCACTTCTCCGTGGAGGGTCAGCTGGAGTTTAAAGCCCTGCTCTTCGTGCCGAAGCGCGCGCCGTTCGACCTGTTTGAAGGGCGGCAGAAGAAGCTGCGAAACGTGAAGCTGTACGTGCGGCGCGTGTTCATCTCGGATGATTGCGAAGAGCTCATGCCGGAATACCTCTCCTTTGTGAAGGGCGTGGTTGACTCGGAAGACCTGCCTCTCAATGTCTCGCGGGAGATGCTCCAGCAGAACAAGATTCTCAAAGTCATCCGGAAGAACCTCGTTAAGAAGTGCCTCGAGATGTTCACAGAGATCGCGGAGAACAAGGACGACTACAGTAAGTTCTACGAGGCATTCAGCAAGAGCATCAAGCTGGGAGTGTACGAGGACTCTCAGAACCGCGCGAAACTCTCAGAGCTTCTCCGATTCCACTCCACCAAATCGGGCGACGAAGCCACCAGTCTAAAGGACTACGTTACCCGGATGAAAGAGGGGCAGAGCAGCATCTACTACATCACGGGCGAGAGCAGGCGAGCCGTGGAGAACTCTCCGTTCCTGGAGAAGCTGAAGAAGAGGGGCCTGGAGGTGCTGTTCATGGTGGATCCAATCGATGAGTATGTGGTGCAGCAGCTCAAGGAGTTTGATGGAAAGAAGCTGGTCTCGGCCACCAAGGAAGGGTAAGAGCACCACTCACCTCCTTTCCCATCCTTGCGCTTTCATTCTGTACCTTTCTGCTTTTCTCTGCACCTTCGGTCCATCCGTCCTTGATCCTTTGCCTCTCAAAGCTCTCGTTCTCTGAGACGCTGGTATGCTCTGGTGTGTGTACTTTGGGTGGTCTGTCTGAATTTTTCCTGACTTTCACTTCGTATCCTGTGCGTGCAGGTTGAAGCTGGATGAGCCCGAAGAGGAGAAGAAGAGATTCGAGGAGCTGAAGAAGGAATTCACCGACACATGCAAGGCAATGAAAGACATGCTGGGGGACAAGGTTGAGAAGGTAACTGTAGGCGAGCGCATTGTGGAGTCCCCCTGCGTTTTGGTCACAGGGGAGTACGGCTGGACCGCCAACATGGAACGCATCATGCGAGCCCAGGCTTTAAGGGACAGCTCCATGTCTCAGTACATGACCAGCCGGAAAACCATGGAGATTAACCCTCATAACAGCGTTATCAAGGAGCTCAGGAGGCGGATCGAGGCGGATAAAACCGACAAGACTGTCCGAGACTTGGTGTTCCTGCTGTTTGAGACTGCTCTGCTGACCTCGGGATTCTCTCTGGATGAGCCTCAGGCGCTGGCGGGACGGGTGCATAGGATGATTAGCCTTGGACTAAGCATTGATGAGAATTTGGAGGAGGTTGGGGAGGAGGAGGCAGGAGAGATGGATGGGGAGAGCAAGATGGAGGAGGTGGATTAGGCTTGGAGAATACAGAAGCATGCGTGGTGTGGAAGAGTGGATGATTACGGTTCATGGGATGGGACAATACGGTAGTTGACTGCTGGATTACTTATGTCCATGGGATGGAGCAGCTGGGATAGTGGTGATTGGTGGGGACTCTGGGTCATATAGTTGGAGATTGCTTGCTTTGGGGTTTGCGGGAGGGTGTGTGTGTGGCAATGTGCTACTGTGTACAAATGGGTGTGTAAGTGTGTCAGTGTTAAGTTAATGGCCAGCTTTCTATATGTGAGACTTGCACACTAGATCCTGTACAGCTTCAGCAACTAAGATCTAAATAATCATGGAGAAACTAAAGAAAGTGGAGTTCAAATCATCCAACTCAAACAAAAGGCAGCTATATTTACCACAACATACAGTATCGATATGCAAAGTCGCATCAATATGATTGCCAATGTAGTCTACATATCAGCCTTCTGCTGCTTCCATAGATGAAGCCTGACTTAAGCTGTGCATAAGACGGTTCCAAGGCTGGAAGAAATGGCCTAAGGTACTGTTTGAAAAAGAACCCCTGCCCACACTAGGGTACTTGTGCGAGACTTGTGCGTATGTGTTCAGAAGAAAGGAGGGAGCATGATCCACCGCCGAGGGTACTTGGGGCGACCCTCCTTGCCATCAAAGAGCTGAAGGTTTCAGGTTGAAGCGAAGAAGGGAAGGTTGAGGGGAACACAACACACACAAGGGAGCGCTTGATGAGCAGAGAAATTCGAAGGGGCTGGAGTAAGGAGGAAACATGATGCACATAGCATAGCCTAAGTCTCAAGAAGCTATTTGCCAGCGCTGCAACTGGTGCTGACTTGGAAGGTGATGGCTGCATGTCAGTGACATAAAGAGGTTGGCTTCACTCTGACCAACGGGTGACACCCGCGGCAGATTCAGGACAAAGCATTGCATTGTCAAAGCATCATCCATGCAGCCCGTAGTAAGTCCACCAGCCGGTTTTCCCATCTTAAGCAACCAAGCCGCTCATACGAGCATGGATGGCATTTGGACGTCAAAAGTTCATATAAAGCATAGACACCCTTCAAACCATGGAAAGACTGAGTACATTTAGGACAGGGCAGAGATCCCCGGCCAAATGCCACCAATGAATGTGTTTTAACAACGAGAACGATAGAAACAAGAATCACCTCAAAAAAGGCATCTGCAATGAAGCCAGGGAAGAGCTCTCCATGCAGACAATGACGAGATCAAACCAAGCTCTTAATCTATGTTCCCCCAAAAAACTGCATGTCAGGGACATTGATAGGATGGCTTCACTCTGACCAACAGGTGGTACCCGTGACAGGCTCAGGACAAAGCATTGCATTGTCTGACATCATCCATGCAACCCCGAGGGGGGCCCCAGTCAACTTTCCCCCTTCGACTTCCAAACATCACCTCAGACGGCGTCTTAGAAGATGGCAAGAAAAAACAAAGCATCCAGAGAAACAGAAACGTAGGCAAAGCTCCCAGTCTATTGCCCTCCCTTAAGGAACTGCATGTCAGTGACATTAAGAAGATGGCTTCACTCTGACCAACAGGTACCCGTGGCAGATTCAGGACAAAGCATTGCATTGTCAAAGCATCATCCATGCAGCCTTGAAAGGGTCATCTACCGGTCCCCCCCTCTCCCCTCAACAAGTTAGCCCACTAGAGAGAGCATGCACGTCGAATACAGGAGCAGATACCTCACCTCAGAAGGTGTCTACGAAAAGAAGAAGCAGACAGACAAAACAGAACAGTAATCAAAGCTCCCACAAAAGGACTGCATGTCAGGGACATTAATAGGACGGCTTCACTCTGACCAACAGGTGTTACCCGTGGCAGACTCAGGACAAAGCATTGCATTGTCTGACATCATTCATACAGTCTATCCCTGGGTTGTGCCTGCCCAATCTCTTCCCTAGACCCGTAAATGCATCAAGCCCTTTCCGTTTCCTGCCCAGTCTCGAATCGCAACCCGTGAGTGCATGAAGCCGATCCGGGTTACTGAGAGTCCGTAGGTCAACGAAAAGCGAGTAAAGGAGGCGACTGTGCTACAGCTGCTCACTCCATCTGGTGAAGGAAGAGCGGTACAGTGCTACATCCCCACCATGCAACACTGGGGCAGAGAGCATCTTCATTTAGAATCTGCTTTTTGAGAATTCTAAAAAAAAGCGGAACTGGTGAAGGAAGAGCGGAACTGTGCTACATCCCCACCATGCAATAACGCGGTAAAGAGCGACTTCATAAAGTGCATGTCAGCGACAACATATGTGATGACTTTCACCCAACCAGGAAAAAACTCCAGAGCGACGGTTCAGGACAAAGCATTGCGCTTGTCTGCCATCATCCACACTAACTCGTCTGTGCCGTTAGCCTGTTTCGGCTTAGCTTAGCCGATAGAAGGGTGTGTCTGCTATGGCTTGATTATAAGCAACGCAGTTAGTCGAAAACGGGTGGATGCGGAACTGCAGGAAAAGGGAGCGAAGGACCTTAGTCATGCTCTCCTACTCTCTCCCTCCGCCCCCCATCCTGCGCTACGAGGTCGAAGAGGGCGAGGATGAAAGGGTACGGGCCTAGCTTGACAGCAGGCTTGATGATATTGGGGATACGAGAACATCGTTTCACTGCGTGAGGATTCCTACCTTCCTGTGGCATTCAAGCCAAGCGCGGCCTTAAGAGGCCAGATGAGCATTCGCTTGGCGTGCGCGTGCTTGGCAAAGGCCTTAAACCCCGAACCCTGATGTCGACTCAGTATTGTGATTGCTTATGACAAGGAGAAAACGACGCGGAGAGGCGGAACGGCAGTGGGAAAGATGGAGGGAAAGTTTGGTGGGGAGAATCATGGATAGAGAGAGAGAGATGTCTGCCCTCACCTTGACGAGGCGCTGGTGCTCGGCGAGGTCTCCCACAGGCATCTGCATGGTTCCTTCTGAGACGCCTCAAAAGTCAGCCCGGTGGGGTGACTTTCGAGTTGACTCAAACTCAAGTGTCTGCTCTCACCTTGACGAGGCGCTTGTGCTTGGCGAGCGCCCACTCGGCCATCTGCATAGCGCCGGCGAGGCGACGACTGAGATCAATCGAAAACAGATCTCTGCTCTCACCTTGACGAGGCGCTTATGCTTGGCGAGCGCCCACTCGGCCATCTGCATGGCGCCGGCGAGCATGAAGAGGTAGCCGGCGACGGACTGCGTGGCGATGTTGAATCCCAGCCACGCCGTGATCTCCGTCGTGTAGTTGGCGCACGTGATGAAGTTGAACAGGAAGCCCGACGGAATCTGGTACCCCGAGCTCGAGCCGGACCTGCAGGGCGGGGAGATGTACCAGAGTTACTAACTGTTCCTGGAGGCGCCTTCATCATTGCAATTACCGCACGTGATGAAGTTGAACAGGAAGCCCGACGGAATCTGGTACCCCGAGCTCGAGCCGGACCTGCAGGGCGGGGAGATGTACCAGAGTTACAAACTGTTCCTGAGGCGCCTTCATCATTGCAATTACCGCACGTGATGAAGTTGAACAGGAAGCCCGACGGAATCTGGTACCCCGAGCTCGAGCCGGACCTGCAGGGCGGGGAGATGTACCAGAGTTACAAACTGTTCCTGAGGCGCCTTCATCATTGCAATTACCGCACGTGATGAAGTTGAACAGGAAGCCCGACGGAATCTGGTACCCCGAGCTCAAGCCACACCTGCAGGGCGGAGAAATGCAATAGAGTTACTAAGGTGGAAGAGAGGGGAAGGGGATAATCATGCTGTTTCTCGGTGAAAACGACTCTACGCAGATAATGCTTGACGGTACAGCGGAATACGGTTTGTACGACTCATGCTACACTATAATAATGGTGTAACATGTAGTCCATGTGAGGTTCAGAGCGAGCCGAAAGGACTGAGGCTCGCAGAATTGATCCCCGCACGCTGTGCCGATTTACTCCGAAGAACCCACCTTAGGTTCCTCAAAATGATGTGACAGTAGAGGTTGGAGAGCTGGTTGACTATAGCAATGCCGAATCCGATCATCATCTGGGTCTCGCTGACTGGGGTGTACAGCGGGTGGTTCACGAAGAACGATACGAAAGCTGCGAAGGTCCAGTAGTAACCGCAGTTACGGAACAGGTTCTGAAGCGGCATCGTGCCGTGGCTGAAACGGTGGACGAAGAACGTCTCGAAGATGCGCTTCGTGTAGTGGAATGACCAGTAGATGAGTGCGTAGGTCTGGACATCTTTAAGCTTCTGCAGGAAGACATGGCGGTAAGTAAAAAGAATGGAGAATGTCAGGAGAACAGCACGAAATGAGCGCTACTGTGAAATCAGCGAGGCTCGGGAAATTAAGGTGATCTAAGCGCGGGAGGATCAGGAAGCTTGAAAAACAGAACCCAGGAATTAGTAATACGAGGAGGCGCTTACCCTCTTGGCACCGTCCACATAGAACACTTGCGGGAAGAAGTAGAAGAGCGAGTAGAGGACCAGAGGACCGAAGTACTCCCAGAAGAAGACCGTCTTAAAGCCGATCTGAGGGCCGAGATCCTTAAAGACGACGTCCAATGTGGTTCCTGTAGAGTACTCCGCGAGTCGCTTTTTGGCGTCCAGAACGACGGGTTTGGCTCCTGACGCTGGCGCTGGGAGAGTGAATCTCTGCCTTGCAGGGTACCATTTTTTATCTGCATGAAGAGGTAACCCCGAAGATAAAGGTTAGAATGGATTGTTATAAGGGGTACGGCTTGTCATGGTCTGTAAACTCCAAATGCTGCGACTTACTCGTTTTGTGAAGGGCTTTTTGGAGATCTGCTACGGAGGCCTGCACAGAGACGACACGGATAGTAACCAGTTAAGCTTATACGGCATTTACACGACTGGAGAAAAGGATCGAGAGAGTGTTTGTGAGGATCAGAAGGCCTGTGAAAAGCCACGCAAACAGATGCTTGAGTAAGCGTAGAATGCAATGGGGAAGGTACCTCATCGGGAAGTTGGAGGCCGCCTTTGACGATCTCTTTTCCAGATCGCGAAAAGACGTTGACCTTCATGCTGAGGGGGTGCCGATCTACCGTATCCAAAATGATACGAAAGTAGACCCTTCTCGCACTCCTCAGAGTACGGCAACGAATTGCGTGGAAACTAAAAAAGGGAGGACACGCCTAGGGACAGGAAGGACAATGGCTGGAACTAGAATATTGTATGACGAGATTCATTTGGCGTAGTTGTGAGTAGAAGGCGGAGAGGGAGTTCAGAACAAGATGAGAGAGGATAGCGAGGATTCGAACGAGATCGAGAGTGGTTAAGAAGGATATATCGGGACGGCGAGGGAGTTCTGGTCTTGGTTGGATGTCGAGTCGAGCTGGTGTGAGATGTGGTTTCTGGCAGGTTCGGCTCGGCTTTCTCGAGGTGAGATCTTCGCCCTGGGTTTCCGAGATTGGAAGCTGGCGCTTTTGGCGCCAAAATGGGCTGACAGGAATTGATTCGATTGTGACAATTGGTGCGAAGGGTCACGCCGAACACAATTCGAAAAAATACACAGCTTTTCATTTCAGTATGTGTGCAATTCTGTTATATTAATTATTCCCAAGCAGGGTGATCCTCAGTTGAGTTTCTAGGGGGCCTTGGCTTCCAGTTTGGCACTTCATCCCAGAAGAAGTTGTAGTAAATATGGCCTGAAATTAAATCAACGCAAGATAATATGCAAACACATGAACCAAAACGTTGTGAGAAACCCTTCGTTATACATGATTGCAAGCAACTCCATATGCCGTTATCAAATCTTACCTGGATGAGCATGCACGCAGCACCAGATGCCTGTATAATGTCGCAATCTCCATCTAAATTTCTTCTCAAGCTCCTGCACGGACAAAATGCAGGGGAGAGAAGATATAATGGTGCGAGCTGCTTTAATGTCATGCTCTCATCCACTCCTGCAGGATCATTAAGTCCATCTCATCACAACGCTCTTCCCAAAGCCTCTCTTCCCCCCCAACCCCCCCCTCCCCCCCCCTTCCCTTCACTCCCCCCACCGAGTCCCCGCCCCCTGCCAATCTACCAGCACTCACTCTATCGTCCCATCCACGAAACACATCGTGCAAACTGCTTTCACATCTGAAAACTGCGATAATGCCTCCTTTCACTGGAACTCTATAGCCCGTCCCATCCCAATGCTTGCCAACCTCTGCCCCACGTCCTTCCACCAGCACTCACCTTGTCATCCCACCCGCCAAACACATCGTGCAGAAAACTGAACTCGATCCACTTCACATCAGAAAACCGAGATAATGCTTCCCGCAACTGGAACTCAAGAAAGGAGGGATCAGGAGGCCACGGGCACAGGAACAGGTAACGGAAGAGAAACGAGAATGATACCGGCATGATACAGCAAGGAGAAGGGAAGGAGCACAGACCATGAAGGCAACAGGCTGCTGTAAGAGCAGCAGGGGCTTGTTAGAGTAAAAGGTACCAAAAAACACAGTGACATATTTTGTGTGCAATATCGCATCTAGCAGTACAGCGCACCTGCTTCTCTCGTACGCCTTTCCTGAGCACCAGATCGAGTGTGTGAGCTCTGGGAAGATCCTGAGCGTCCGTTTCTACGGGGCAATCGGGAGCAGTGTCGTTGCAGATACGCACAGAGAGCTTGGAGGCTCGGAGCTAGGGGGGACAGGAAGCGAGGGGGAAGGGTGAGGGGGGAGAAGGGCAGACAGTTTCAGCGGGACAGTCATGAGGGAATTCAGGAGGGAAATCAGGAGCAGTGTCGTTGCAGATACGCACAGAGAGCTTGGAGGCTCAAAGCTGGGGGACAGGAAGCGAGGGGGGGAGGGGTGGAGGAGAGGGTGGAGAAGAGGGCGGAGGGTGGGCATGCACTCAATAAAGTAGAGTGCCATTACACAGCTTACCTCTTTCAGGACATGAGGGTTGTCAAGGAAAGAGTACTCCAAAAAGATAAGTGAAATTTGAATCTACCCAACATTCCGACACTATACAGCTCACCTCCTTTGGGACACGAGGGTTGTCAAGAAAAGAATATTCCCGAAAGGGTATTGCTGGCCCGAACTCCTCTTCTGGAAGCTTCCCTGGAAGCATCCTGTCTACCTGAATGGAAGGAAGTAGGAGGACAGTTAAGGGGTGGGAGGGTGTTGGTGACGTAGATATTGGAGGTGTGGAATTGTGTAGGGTATGGTGGAGTACAATATGGCACGGTTATGGAACGGTTTAGAATGGTGTGGTATGAGCTAGAAGGAACGGTAGAGACTTTACAGTTGAATTTCTGACAAAGAGATTTCAGATTGCTTGAGCATGAAGACAACTGTAGAGACTGTCAATACTGTACATTTTAACACAAGTATAGAGAGCCTGTACATTGAGGATATGGTCGAGTGGGCAGAGAAACGGCTGTGGCGTTGCAGTGTTATCGAGGATGCCTTTATGAGGGTACCAGATGCGGTCGAATCGAGCCCACGTGCTTGGCATGACCTGATGGTGGGTGGGGGGGGGGGGGGGAGCACATGCACGAACACTCATCAAGACCATCAGGTGCTCGTGCTATAAGCAGCTCGGATGCTCTTCAGCTGGTGGTTGACCAGGTGGAAGTGCGTTGAGAGAGTGTGATTGCCCCAGTGCCCCAGACAGACCGTTGACTTGCATTGACCTTGCCATTGACTTGGGTTGACTTGAGTTGACTCACGAGGGTCCGGTTTAAAATGAGGGCGATAGCTAGAGCAGAACGAATGCTCTTCAGCTGGTGGTTGACCAGGTGGAAGTGCGTTGAGAGAGTGTGCTCGCCGCCCGTCAGCAGCTCCTCGGGAATGTCGTTGACGAATGAGACGATGCCACCTGGCGGGTCGTAGTACTCTGGAGGGTCGTAAAAAGCCATGGCCTCTCGGAAGCGATGGCGCTTGCCTGGCGAGGATAGTACATGATGCATGATGGATGGAGAATGGGGGATAAGGGGATCGGGATGGGGAAAGGGGACAGGTAAATGGTGGGGATGATTCCCGTTCACCCTCATAGGTCGTAGTACTCTGGAGGGTCGTAAAAAGCCATGGCCTCTCGGAAGCGATGGCGCTTGCCTGGTGGGGGTTGGGGGGGTAAGGGTTGGGGAGGGTGGAGGGTGGAGGGTGGATAACCTTAGAGCAGGCAGTAATCACTTGCATCTGGTTAGACTGGAAGCTAGAAAGTATAGTTGAACTCCCTTTGCTACTGAAATATACAGCCCCAGCAGCAACATATAGAGTCAACCCCCCACTTGACCATTGTACCTCCAAAATGTAAGTCTCAGTTCACGATGAACATGCTTGCATTGGATTGAATGCATACCTGGAGTGCCAGCAAACTGGAAGGTGGCGTGCAAAGCATACGGTTCAAGACCCAGAGCAAGTAAAGAAAGAGAGTAAAAAACTCCCTAGCTAAGAAAACTCTGATCGCAAGAACTGTATTCACTCAATCAGAACAGGTCGCATACCTGGAGTGCCAGCAAACTGGAAAGTGGCGTGCAGAACATAAAGCTCTAGATCGACCATCTTGTGCAAATGCAAATGTAGCTGTAAAAGATTCAAGTTGAACATGCTTGCATTGAGTGTAATGCATACCTGGAGTGCCAGCAAACTGGAAAGTGGCGTGCAGAGCATACGGTTCGAGACCCACCACCTTGTGCAGATGCTGCGGGGAAGATAGCAGATGGAGTACGAGATATGAGGAGGTGAGGGATGAAGGCCGGACAGCAGGGAGAGAGAGAGAGGGAAAGTGCTGAAAAGCTGAGTACGGTGCGTGCAGAGAGAAAGCATGGAACCAACGAGGAAAAGAGATGAAGGGGAGAATGAAGGGAAAACAGGCAGAATCCCCAGCTTGCGGGGTGCATCGAGCAGGCATCGAACGCCCAGAACAGATGGTCGTCAGCAGCAGCAGGGTGCATGCCTGGCGGCATGTGCTTCCTATGTGCTTCCTCATTCTCTAGTTTGAGAGACAGAGAGACAAGAGACAACGCACCTGAACAAAGAAGGTGTGGCCTGCCTGAGCGGAAGACAGACACGGGGAGAATTTGGCAGCAGCAGGGTCAATATCGGGGCCCATGTGCTTGCCTTGGACATGAGCTTGTTGAACCCGTTCTGGTCCCATATCATATCTTGACTTTTGAGGCGTCTCAAGAGACGTCTCAAGAGACGTCTCAAAGCTTGTTGAACCCGTTCTGGTCCCATATCTTGACGCCCGTGGCTTAGGAGTTCCACTCACACACCTGGACGAAGTAAGTGTGGCCTGAACAGAAGACGGAGACTGGCAGAATCCCCAGCTTCAGACTGCCATCAAACGCCCAGAACACATGGTCGGCAGCAGCAGGATCCACGTCGGGCCCCATGTGTTTCCTCATGAGCTCGTTGAACCCGTTCTGGTCCCATATCTTAGCGTCAGAAGCGAGGAGTTCTGCCCATGCTCGAGCTAGTCGCTTGGCCGGGTCGGTGGGGCGGAAGTGCAGAATGCCTATGTTGTACGCGCTCTGTGCTGGGGGGTGGGGAAGGAGGGGATGTGGGAAGGAGAAGGGAGGAGAGAGGGCGCATAGGAGGACAGATGACAAGGAAGAGAAGGTGCTTGGCCAGGTCGGTGGGGCGGAAGTGCAGAATGCCTATGTTGTACGCGCTCTGTGCTGGGGGGGGTGAGTCTCGGGAGAGGAGGGGAGGAGGAGGGAGAATGAGACAGGGTAGGGGAGAGGGATGGGGAGGAGGGAGGGAGCAGACGATGGCACTTGAAACAGCCGTGTTTCTCGCCTCCTCATGAACTCGTTGAACCCGTTCTGGTGCGTGTTTTTTGAGAATTCTCAAAAAACCCGTTCTGGTCCCAACTCTTGGCATCAGATGCGAGGAGCTCTGCCCGGAAGGGAGGGGAGAGGGCAGATAGGGGAATAGCAGAAGATGAAGACAGAAAGGCGCTTGGCCGGGTCAGTGGGGCGGAAGTGCAGAATGCCTACGTTGTACGTGCTCTGTGCTGGGGGGTGGGGAAGAGGAAGGGGGAGATGTTGGGAGGGGAAGGGAGGGAGATGACTTATTGGGGGATAGATGAAGAGGAGGCGTTTGGCCGGGTTGGTGGGGCGGAATTCAGAATGCCTATGCAGGAAGGGGAGGCCGTTGGCATGCCTGTTCACACCTCCTCACACCTTTTCACGCCTCCTCACGCCTCCTCACGCCTGCTCACGCCTGATCACGCCCGCTCACACCTGCTCGCCCTTTCTCACCTCGCTACAATTTCTCCAGAGACTCATCAACAACTGAACGGACTAGGTGGTCGCTGGATGTGAGGAGATTCGCTAGCACGCCTGCTCACACCTCTTAACACCTGTTAACGCCTGCTCATGTCTACTCTACCCTTTCTCACCTCGCTGCCATTTCTCCAGAGACTCATCATCAACTGAACGGACAAGATAGTCACTGGATGTGAGGACGCATGCAGGCACGTCTACTCACACCTTTTCAGACCTCCTCACATTTACTGCCACCTCTTCACGCCTGCTCACTCCTTGTCACTCATACCTTCTCACGCCTACTCACACCTACTCGCCCCTCTCTCACCTTGCTGCCACTTCTCCAGGGACTCATCATCAACTGAGCGGACAAGGTGGTCACTGGATGTGAGGACGTCTGCTGTTGGGTAGCGAGCGATGAAGGGCAGAGGGTTCTGCAATGCAAACGGAGGGGATTGGGGAGAGAGTGAACGCGAAAAGGAAGGAAGAAGGAGGTCAGGTTGAATACGGAAGGGAAGTCAGCAAGGGCTGGACGCATAAAGTGATTGCTGGATGTGAGGAATCGGCTGAAGGAGAGCGAGCAATGAAGGGTGGACGGTTCTGCAAAGAAAAGAGTGACCTCCTCCCGCCCCATGGCATGGAACACCGGCATGCATGCCCCACCAGACCCCACTCGTTCTTTGGCCTACCACCTGCTGACTGACTGACTGACTGACTGACTGACTGACTGACTGACTGACTGACTGACTGACTGACTGACTGACTGACTGACTGACTGACTGACTGACTGACTGACTGACTGACTGACTGACTGACTGACTGACCGACTGACTGACTGACTGACTGACTGGCTGGCTGAGTGCTCTTGCAGCCAGCACAGCACTTCCTGTCTGACAGCCTACCCTTAGCCGTTGACAGACAGGGTGGGTTTCGGTGTCAAGATTGTTTTGAGACGTCTCAAAACCTACCCATATCCATCGACAGACAGGGTGGGTTTCGGTGTCAAGATTGTTTTGAGACGTCTCAAAACCTACCCATATCCATCGACAGACAGGGTGGGTTTCGGTGTCAAGATTGTTTTGAGACGTCTCAAAACCTACCCATATCCATCGACAGACAGGGTGGGTTTCGGTGTCAAGATTGTTTTGAGACGTCTCAAAACCTACCCGTATCCATCGACAGACAGGGTGGGTTTCGGTGTCAAGATTGAACAGCTCCACGCCCATCGACGGGAACACATTCGACCCACCCCGCCCGCCCACCCTACTCGTTCCACCTACAACCTACTGACTGAACGCTCTTACTACAGCTACTCTCACCTTAAGCCACACAGTGTCGGTGTCGCATATAAGACGCTCCACGCCCATGGATAGGAACACGTTGACCAGAGTGACCTTCTCCCGCCCCATGGCATGGCACACTGGCGTGCCCCACCCCTTCCTTCCCACCATGCCACCCACCCCACTCGCACCACCCACTACCCACTGACTGATTGCTCTTACTACAGCTATTCTTACCCGCAGCCGAACAGTATCCGTGTCACAGATAAGAAGCTCCACCCCCATGGAGAGGAACACGTTGACCAGAGTGACTTTCTCCCGCCCCATGGCATGGCACACTGGCGTGCCCCACCCTCCCCACCCTCCCACCTCACTCACCCCACTCACCCCACTCACCCCACTCAACCCACTCACTACCTGATGATGGACTGATCTGACAACATACCTTGAGCCACACAGTGTCCGTGTCACAGATAAGCAATTCCACCCCCATGGAGAGGAACACGTTGACCAGAGTCACTTTCTCCCGCCCCATGGCATGGAACACTGGCGTGCCCCACCCGCTGTCCTCCGGGCTCATGCCACTCTCCAGGTCGAACACAGGCACGCCCTCCTGGTAGAGTGCTTTCAGAATGGTGGGGTCCATGGCGCCTAGGCAAAGGAAGGGAAGCAGGGGATACACAGACTGTTGCGAACATGCGTGCCCCACCTGCTGTCCCCCGGGCTCATGCCACTCTCCAGGTCGAACACAGGCACGCCCTCCTGGTAGAGTGCTTTCAGAATGGTGGGATCCATGGCGCCTAGGCAAAGGAAGGGAAGCAGGGGATACACAGACTGTTGCGAACATGCGTGCCCCACCTGCTGTCCCCCGGGCTCATGCCACTCTCCAGGTCGAACACAGGCACGCCCTCCTGGTAGAGTGCGGTGAGAATTTCATTGTCCATGGCACCTGGGGCGAAGGAAGGGAAGCAGGGGGCACACACACACGGAACAGTCCGCTGCATTGCATACACGCGTGCTCCACCCGCTGTCGTCTGGGGTTCATTCCACTCTCCAGGCTGAACACAGGCACGCCCTGTGTGATGAGCCTATTTTTGAGTCGACTCAAAAATAGGTTCATTCCACTCTCCAGGCTGAACACAGGCACGCCCTCACGGCAGGCACCATGGGTCCGTGGCGCCTGGGGTAGGAATCAACAGGGGAAGACGGAGAGGAGGAACAAACAGCCTACGCATTGCCCCACCAGCTATCCTCGGGAAAATTGCCTTGTAGATAGCGGGTGGGGCAATGCGGAGTCAATGCCCTGTAGACTCTACAGACGCAAGGTTGGCTAAGTCACCACCACCACCACCACATCTTACCACTGCCTTTAAGTCTCCTCGAAACCCATGAACCCTGAGACCTGCGTGACTAGGTATCATCAGAATCTCTTCTCACCTATGAGGATGTTGGTAACCCCCAGATCTGTGAGGTGCTTCACCCAGTTGAGCACGAAATCCATAAAAGCGTGGTTGGCGAAAGTCACTACCACCACGTTCTTTTCTGCTCTGAATTCCACCATCTCCCTCCGCAGCGCAAACTCCTCTTTTCCAGGAACCTTCCCGCCGGGCGGCGGTTTCTCCCAGATGGGTCGCTTCAGCTCCGGAATCAACGGCCGTCCCTCGTGTATGATTGGCCGAACTCCCCGAGCGAAAGTTTCACCTGCCTCTTCAGTGCTCCAGCCCTTCAAACCCAGTGCCGAAGCAGCTTTAATCACATGGTCAGAAGCAGCAGCAAGAGCAGCGGAGGCGTCATTTACCACTCCCTTCCTGCTACTGCTGAAATCCCCATCTGTAGTAACATCCGTGCTGTTCTTGCTCAGGGCTTTGCTGCTTCCCCCCAGGTTCTGCGCTGCAAGAAAATTGTTCCTCTCTCCATCCTCCTCGCTCTGAACCCCTCCGCCCTCCTCTCCTGTTCCCATTTGAGGCTGCGGCTCAGCGCTCCTTTCCCGTTCTTCTCCCTCTGATGCTGCTGCTGATGGTTCTGAAGATCCTGATGTTTCTGCCGACGATTCGGATGCAGCGTTGCTGCGAAAAGGCAGCAGCTTGTTAGAAGCAAAGACCGCATTGTTTGCGCTCCTTACAGCTGGTGTCAATTCTGGTGTACGAAAAGGGGACATGCATTAGCGTTTTTGGATAAAGGGGAGGTGAGATATTCATTGGCAGAACAAGATGTGGAGGGGTAGAAAATGAAGGCAAAATCATCAGGTGGTCGAAAGAACAGGAAATGCTGCAGCCTGCTCGTTTTTCTCGATGCGACATGGAAATGCGACACACGGACAAGTCATTGCAGCAACAAAGTAACAATGCGCAGGTATTCACAAAATTAGTCAGGACCAAGCTTAAACTGGACGGAAGCACACTCTATACCTTGCTCGTCCACGTTCGTCGCTTCCTCGACCTGCGACTCGAGGAGGTCATTCCAGTGGCTTTCCAAGCTCCAGTATACCGGCCGGCCGAGAATGTAACCGACTATCATGACGGCTAGCAGGCCGGCGACGCCAAGGACTCTGCGAAGCCGCGACATTTCGGATGCGGAACAGGGCTGTCGATTGGTTTTAGGCCAACACTTGAGAGGCTGAGGTCCCCTGTTTCCAGCCCTGAAATTTCCGAGAAGCGGCTTTTTCCAGCCCTTAACACTTGAAAGCAGGGCAACACTTAAGCGCTCAGGGCAAGAGTTTACTTGGACATTCACAAATGTACACTGCTCTAGCACTGGAAGCCGTAATTGGCTCAAATTGCCTAACTACCCTCCATCAAAGGTGAAGTGGCAAGCTTGCGGCTTTAACAAGGGGTGTGGGACAGGGGAGAGTTAAGAGGAGGGGGGTGGAGAGAGGAAGGGGACTCCGGGAGAGTCCCCAAACTTGTACAGCGAATCAGGGCTAGCCCCCAAATGCGCCCTGTAAGTATCAGGGGAAGGCCCTGACGACGCCCCTGAAGAATCCGGGCTGTACTGAAAAGCACCCCTTTAAATTCGGAACCTGGACCGATGTCAACCCTTAATGTTCAGGGCATTAAGGGCAAATGGCCTTGAATCGACAGCCCTGATGCGGAACCAGACGCGGAAGGACAGGAATAATTCAGTGGTAACGAGATGACTATGATAAACGGACCGGTTGGGTTACTAGCTATTGAAATTCGCGTGACATTATTCAATCAGAGCCAGCTACCGTAGATTCTCAGCGCGTCCCTACTCGTCTGTCAGGGATCGGCAGAGAGCCTGCTTCAAGAGATCGGAAGCAGGAATGATCGGAAGCTTTGAGCATTGGGATTGCCGAGCTGACCACTGAAAGTGATCAGACTGGGCGGCAGGATGTGATCTGTACGCGCTGTTGTTACAAAGATCTTACTTCCACCGTTATGTTTTACAATCGCATATACATACAGCATATACTTAGCATCACAATCAATCTCATGCGCTAATAGCTCAAACCTTCCCCTTCGCCTCTTGCCTCGCCACCACCATTCTTAACACATCGCCAGGACTTAGCCTCGATCCGTTCGCATTCGCCTGACATTCCTGCAACTGCCGAGCCAATTCCGACCAAGACAAAGTCCTTAGGGGACCCGGGGGAGGGGAATCATCATCATCATCAAGAATTCCCTGGCTCCACTGCTGCAAATGCGTCAAGTCTACACCATCGTATCCTTTATTAGCTGATTGTTCTTTTGGCGGTTCTACACCCTGCAAGTGGTAGCTCAACCAGAAATCCTCCCCCTCAGTCACACTCCCAAGATTCTTCTCCTTCTGACCCGCCCTCGCACCAGCTCCACTCGTTACAACTCTTACCTTATGTAATGGCGTTGCACTGTACGGAATTGCACTATAAGGGATCGCACTGTACGGGAGGCTGTAGCTCAGCTGTAGCCGCGGAGCCGGCGAATCAGAGGCTTCCATCCAGACCGACGGAGACTTGGGGAAGAAAAAGGAACCAGGGCTGGCAGCCGCACTGTAGCTGCTGCCGCTGCTGGTTACCATGCTCGGCTGCTCTGATTGGCTGCTGAGGGACGGGGGAAAGAGAGCTGATTGGAGGAAGGCATCTGAAGGGACACTGTGGGTTCTCTCCAGCGGGAGGGGTGCAGGGTGTGACTGTAGCGAGTGTGATTGGATAGAGTGGGTGTGTGACAAGGACCGAGGGGGGAACGGGTGGTGGTGGTGCTGCTGATGCTGCTGGGAATGAAGCTCCTTTCGGTCTGTCTGACTTCCTCCTCCTCCTGCTGCTGATCCTCCCCCCTCCATGGTGTTCCACCAGGCAGAGTGGTGTGTGAGAGGATGGAACACCAGCTGCTGCTGCTTCCCCTGCTGGCACTGCTGCTGCTGCTGGTGCCACTGCTGTAGCCACGACAGCTGCTGCTGCTGCTGGAGCTGCAGTTGCTGCTGCTGCTTCTCCAAGTGCGAGAGCCACTGCTGCTGCTGCTGAGCAGAAACCCCTTCTGCACCAGCAGGCAGCCCATGCTTCTGCCTCAGCTCCAGGTATCTAGCCCTCACATCCGCTCCATGCCCTACCGACTTAGACACTGCATACTGACCTCTCAAATCCCCATGCTCGCCTGACTTAGACACAATCCCATACTGCGCTCTCAGATCCGCCCCGTAGCCCGCGGATTTCGATACACCGGATCGGGACCCCACCGTGTGCGACCGGGGAAGCTTCCAGGAATGGATGGTGGCCGCCCCGAGCTCAGGTTCAGCCCATCCGTCCTGTCTGCCTTCCCCATCCCTTTGAGCAACTCCACCTCTGGGTGAAGCCCAAGCCCCAGATACCCCCATACCTGCTGCAGCAATTAACGATTGCTTGCCTCCTCTCCCCTCCCCATTGAACCCCCCTGCCATCCCCTTGCCTCTCTCTCCCCCGTCGTTGCTCCTCCTTCCCGCTCCCGGCCTCTTCTCACCCGCTTCTTCTTTTTCTTCTTCTTCTTCTTCTTCAGCATCGGCCAGGGCGTGGAGTGACAGCGCACTCGCAGCTCGCTTATGGGCAGCTGCAGCAGTACCAACAGGACCGGCTCCAGCTGCAGTATTGATACGATCACCGGCACGTGCGCCAGCAGCAGCGGGATTGGTACGAACAGCAACAGGAGTGGAAGCAGCAGAAGAAGCCCAGCCGCCATCAGCAGTACCAGAAGGTGAGCTAGCAGCAGGTAAGGTAGAGGCAGCAGGGGAGATAGCAGCAGCAGGGGAGGTGCCAGCATGCCAGCCCACGCCCCACCCGCCCGACCCCTGTCGCCACAGCTGCTGCAGAGCCGACGCCAGCCGACTGCTCTCACTCGACTCATGCCGTCTCAACCGCCCCCTCTCCGCACCCCCTCCCCTCTCTGCACCCACTCCTCCCCTCTCTCCCCCTCGTCCCCTCTCTCCACCCACTCCTCCCCTCTCCCCGCAGGCTCTCCCCCTTTCTGATTCCCTGCCGCAGCCTTCGTGCAGGTCAGGAAACGGCAGGTTAGGGGATTGCAGATTCTCTGCAGTGGGTGACTGCTGGGTTTTGAAGATCCCAGGCCTTGATCTGGGCAGTCCGCCTCTCTTCCACTCGTGCAAGGTGCCTCTTGGAGACTTCTCCTCCCGCTGCCAGTGGGAGAGAGTTGGCCCTCTTGGCGTGTTGTGAGTGCTCACACTCTGTCGGATTCGAGTTGACCGCGTTGACCACGTTGACTGCGTTGACTGAATTGACTGCGAGGACTGTAGGGAGAGCATCGATTGGATTGACAGAGTTGACTGCGTTGACTGGATCGTCTGGGTTGACTCGGTTGACCGGGTTGACTCGCAGGTCGTGGAGCCCACTGATGCATGCCGCTCGAATCGCGGCGGCCGGCCGGCGGAGGGCGGTGGCCGCTTCTTGGAAGCTTCCCTCCTGGGAGTAGAGACACACGAGCCGCCCGTGCACCCAGTTGTAGCGAAGGAATCCGCGTCGGATTCAGCATCGGATCCCGCTTCAAAAGCACTGCTGGTGAAGCCATAGAAATTATCATCATTATGAAAATCATAATCATCCTCGTTCCCGTTCTCGTCGTTGTCTGAAGCGTCGCTGGTGATGTCAAGCGTGAGAATCCCCTTCACCATATGCATCCCTCTCCGCTGGTTCGGGTGCTGCTGCTGATTCTGCCTGGCACCATCCTTTGGGTGTGGAAAATTCTCAGGCTGGGAATTCCTGAGGATATCAACCAGCAGGCCGTGATCTGCTCCCCCCGGATCTTCATCCGCCTGTGCGTCTCCCCCTCCCTCCACCAGCCCGTCACGCGCAGGGCCGGCGCTTGATGAAGCTGTTGTTCCTCCTACTTGAAGTCCGCGCCCCGCGGGTTCGTTAGCTGCTTGCGCGCCCCGCTGATTCGCGCTCTGCTGCTTCCCGCGCTGCCCCTCCGCGCCCTCCGTTTCCGCGCTCTCCCCTCCCGCGCCCTTCCCTTCCGCGCTCTGCGTTTCCAGCGCGCCCTGCGCCGCGAGGGCCGGTTTAGAGAGGTAATACGTCCCTCCCGGGTGCAGCACCTTATCCCGCGGCAGCACGGCGCGCTTCGAAGACATGGATCCCACGGAATACCCAGGATGCTCGCGCATGACGTCAGCCACCGTCAGCTGCCGCGCCGAAGCCCTTCCGCCGCCTCCGCGGGGCCTGCGCGGAACCCGACTTCGCGTGTGGTGGCGCGCGGAACGGGAGAGGTGCGCGGAGTCAAGGACGCGCGGAAGCCCGGCGATGACCGGCGCGGGCACGTCTCCGCCGCTGGCGGGATTTTTTCCGCCGCGGAGATCCTCGTTAGCGGCGGAATGCGCGGGCGTCTTTCCGCCGAAGAGATCCCCGCTGGAGGCGGAATGCGCGGGAGTCTTTCCGCCCGGCGCATACATCTTCATAGAGCCGTCGGGGAGGAGAAGCAGCACGAGGCGCGGCCCGAAGATGCGCTTCCACCGCTGCAGGCGTTCCATCAGTGGGCGCGACGGGCTCAGGAAAGGGGCCGGCTGCGCGGAAGGAGGCGCAGCGGGAGGAGGGGTGGGATCGGCGGCGGGACCGGCGGAGGGATCGGCGGCGGGATGTGTAGCAGCCGTAGTAGAAGGCGGCAAAGTCGAATCCACGCGGGTTGGTTTCATTCTGAAGGTTCCGCTCGGCGCTACTCCGCGTAGAATGGCGAGATATGGATGAGAGATATCTCCAGTCAGTGGAGGGGTGACTTTTGAGTCGACTCAAAGTCTATTCCGCGTTGAACGGCGAGATATGGTTGAGAGATATCTCCAATCACTGGAAGGGTGACTCGAAGCCGACTCGTCCCTATCACTTTCCAATCTTTCCGTCGTTTTTTTCTGGTACGCAATGAATCAGAGGCCGCGGAGAGGTGTAGGAAAAACGGATGTGTATTTCGGAACGGTCTAAGCTTATTGTGGCGACATCAAGATGCGAAGGGGGTCAGGCTTCTCTGGATGGGCCTATGCTCCTTCTGGTAGCGACATCTAACCGAGGAGGAAATCGGCCTTAAGCTAGGAATGGACTCCAAACGAGGAAAGTAAATAAGCTCCCCTGTGCTGCGTGCAGATGTCACCAACAATTGACTGCACCGGAACGCACCTGGTCGCTCTGCTGCTGGTGGAAAGAAGAGGAGAGGTTTATAACGACCCTCAAGCACGATCCTTTCACTCGCCGCTCAGTGAGCTGTTGCTGTTGCCACCCTTGACTTGAAAAATAAATGCGAGAGCAGGAGAGGAGTTTAAATAGTCGTGAAGGTCCGCTGGCAGTCACGAGGCGGTCCGGGCCCTGAATGTCGGTCGTCTGGGATCGCCGAAAGCGCATCTGGTCGGTCGTGTATTGGTCCGTCAACGATGGCCGAGTCGCCTATTATAAGGAGAAACGTCTGGTCGCGAGACATGATGTGATTGGACGGACGACTTCGCGAGTAAGAGCTTATGGTCACAAGAGGGGGATGCTGCTGCTGCTCCATCCGTGGCTTAGGCTTTTCTAGGGATAACCGTTGTTCGTCGAAGCGCAACACCCTTGGAGTTTGCATGCAGCTGTTGACTGGAGGTTTGTGGTGGAGCTATCGACGCTCATCAGAATAATTGGCTGGCAGCGAAAATAGTAAAAGCGCATCAGCGTGGAAGTTGTTTTGTTATAACCGAGATTGTAAAAAGCATTTCGCTAAAAGATTGGGCAGGGTCGTGTTTGCAAATGTGGTCTGATATGTCGTACAAACGGATCATCTCGAGTAGAGTTCAAGTCTAGGCATGGTCTGCCTGACTGTGTGGTGTATGATTCTGCTCCCTGGCAAGTCACTGGCTGGAGTCAACCCGAATGACGGGGATATGACTCGTCGAGTGGGGTAATCCACGTCAACCGAATTCGACGTGTCCCAAGTTTACTGCCCTGCACAAACATCTCCCGATGAGCTGGCTCTTGGAGGGAGTGAAAGGCGAAGCGCCAGACGGTGAACAAAACTTGACCTGGGCAGCTGTAAAACATTTGCCTCACATGTCATCAACCCAGAATGCACTCTCTTCTCTTTCCACTAGGGACCATCATGTGAGAATTACAGTGCCGTTGCGAAAACCTGAATTCAAGAATCATATGTATAGAACAAGCAAATTAAAAGAAATATTTCAGACCTGCCCATATCCTTGCACAGTCTCCCTCCTCCTGGCCTGCTTTGTGTTGCTGTTTGCTTTGTTTGCTGCGAAGTGCTAAGCTAAGAATGGCATTCACATGCTGTTACTGAAATTTGTGCGCCTCCCACCAGCTCGCTCCCATTCACATGCTGTTAGGGCTTGTCCGCCTGAGCCGTGCTGTAGGCCTGCAGCATTAATCTCGCTGCGAGTTTTTTGCTCCGCTTCTGGTCACCTTGCCGTTGCCTCTCGTCAGTAACGACGACTGTCGCGTTCGTTGCTCCCCTCGCGAATCTCGCCAAACCCGCTCGCCTCCCATCGCCATTCGCTCCTGCTCACCGTCTCCTCCGCTCATGACCGTCGCCATCTTCCATTCGCCGTAACCTTTCGCATAACCAGCTGTATATTTTCCGTGAACGCATTCTCAGTACTTCAGCCGTCGCTCGCCAATCTCGCGCTTGGATTCGCCTGGAGTCCACACGTCGCGACGCGCGTTGCGAAGCCCAATTTTCACCTAGCCTTCGCTCGACGCATTTCCGTCCGTGTACTTCCGATTCTGTTATTCCGCGCCTGGTGCGTGCTGCTCGCCGTGACTGTTACGAATGGCGGCGCTGCTCCGCGCTGCTGCGCGATGCGCGCGGGAGGGCATCAAGAGGCGCGGAGCGGAGCGAGTCCCCGCGCGCGCCGGCTGGCTCGTGGACGGCTGGACGATTGAGGCCCGAGCATTGCTAGTAGGGCGCCTCGGAGGGAGCCGCGAGGTGCATAGCGGGCCGGCAGTTTCCGAGGCGCCCCAGAGACAGAGCCCTCCGCCGCTAACGCGCCTCGGAGGGTGCCGCGAGGTACATAGCGGGCAGCCGATAATCATGGCGAAGCGCGGTGCGGACCTGCTGCACGACCCGTGGTACAACAAGGTGTGTGACTGTAACCGAAGGAGGCGTGCAACAAGGTGTGAGGCTGTAAGCGATGTGCGAGACTGTACGAGAGGGTGGTATAGCTAGGTGTGTGGCTGTTAGCGGGGGTGGTACAGGAAGGTGGTGTGACTGTAAGCGAGCGCTTGAACTTTCCGAGAGGGACCGGCTAGGATTGAGCTGATGTCCCGTTTCTCCTATTCCCCAGTCCCCTCCAACGCCCCCCGTCCCTCCCTCGCCATCGTCCTGGTCCTCGTACTCCTCTTATCCCCAATCCCCCTCAACGATCCCCTTCACTCTCCCACCCCCTCTCCCTTTTCCCTCTTCCTATACCCCACACCAGCACACTGCGTTTGAAGCGCCTGAGAGGGACCGGCTGGGACTGAGGGGGCTGCTGCCGCCAGGGTACCAGACAATGGACGACCAAGTGGCGCAATTCAGTAAGTGCTCTTTTGTGATTCAGACGAGGCAGCTCATAGCGAGCAATGGGTTATTATCGGGTTGAGGGGGCTGCTGCTGCAGCCAGAGATTACAACGAAGCAGGTTATAGCGAGTGAGGTTTTACTGGATAGAGAGGGCTGCTGCCGCCAGGGTACCAGACATTGGACGATCAGGTGGTGCAATTCAGTAAGAGGTCTTTTGTGCTTACAACGAGGCAGCAAGCGAGCTGCTTCTACAAGGATGGACAATTGACTCTCCCAAGTATACGCCGGAACTAGCGGTACCGATCCATCCTCCTATCGAACCTAGACCCCCCATCAAGACGAAGGAAGCCTCTATCATCGTGCAAATACACACACCCATTAACATTCAAAACATCTAGCAGTTTCAGCTTTTTTTTTTAATCTTCAGGAAGGAACTCAAGCTGCTCGCAACCCTGCAGGGAGTTTTTGAGAATTCTCAAAAGCACCCGGAAGGAACTCAAGCTGCTCGCAACCCTGCAAATTTAGGGTATGCAGCCTGCTCAGCTGCACATTGTTGGAAGGAAGAGAGTTGATGCGGCTGTTGTGAACCCGTAGCATGCGGAGGAAAGGCAGCTGAGTGAGGGGAGTAGGGAGACGTGCCCCGCTTGCACACGCTGATTCTGCCCTGCTTCCCACGTCCCGCTTGCGCACGCTCTCACACGTCTCCCTTACTTCCCTCACTCAGCTGTCCTTCCTCCGTGTGCTACGGATTCGCCATCGCTTTGCTCCTTTAGCCCACCGTTGTTCAGATCCATCATGCCCCTCATGACCCTCATGCAACGTTCTTGCAAACCCAAACAGGAAGGTGACATGATCATCATGCTCGTGCAATGTCTCCATCCCCATCCGTCTCCCCTCTCCTCCCCCCTTCCCTGCTGTCACTCCCCCACCTCCAACCCCCCCTCCCTTTCCTTTTCCCCCTTCCCCGCCCCCCTCCCCCACTCCAGTGGCGGAGTACAGGAAGCTGGACCACAAGCCCGTCATGCCTCTAGCCCTGCCACTCACCTTCCGCTCATGCTCTCCCAACCCCCTCCCACCACCAGTGGCGGAGTATAGGAAGCTGGATCAGAAGTTCCTCATGCCCCTCATGCCTCTGCAATGTGCACCCCTCGCCTTGTTCTCTCTCCCCCCTCCCTTCCCCCTCCGCCCTCTCCCCTCCCACCACCAGTGGCTGAGTACAGGAAGATGGAGCAGAAGCCCGTCATGCCGGACGACCCGGTTGACCTGCAGAAGTGGCGCATTCTCAACCGCCTGCACGACCGCAACGAGACGCTCTACTACCGGGTATGATGTGACTGCACCGCACTGTACCGCACTGCACTATCACCATGTTGGATGACCCGGTTTACGGGTTGACCCGGAAGCCCCTCATGCTGGACGATCCGATTGACCTGCAGAAGTGGCGCATTCTCAACCGCCTGCACGATCGCAACGCGACGCTCTACTACCGGGTATGATGTGACTGCACCGCACTGTACCGCACTGCACTATCACCATGTTGGATGACCCGGTTTACGGGTTGACCCGGAAGCAACTCATGCTGGACGATCCGGTTGACCTGCAGAAGTGGCGCATTCTCAACCGCCTGCACGACCGCAATGAGACACTGTACTATCGGGTGAGAGAGAGGAGATACGGACGCGTAGTGGTGGGTGTGTGGTGACCCAGTTGACCCGGTTGACCTGGTTGACCTGCAGAAGTGGCGCATTCTCAACCGCCTTCACGACTGCAACGAGACGCTCTACTACCGGGTATGACGTGACTGTAATGAACTCTCTACTACAAGGTGTGACGAGTGCGCGTGTGACTGTAACGGGCTGAGGAGTGACTGGGACAGGCAGGGTGAGGACCCGTTTGACCTGCAGAAGTGGCGCAGCCCCAACCGCCCGCACGACAGCAACAGACGCCTCCCCTCGCCTCCCCTCGCCTCCCATCAGCAGCAGCTCATTGCTCTGTTCGTCTCCTCCTCCCCTCGCCTCCCATCAGGTCCTGATCGACTACATTCAGGAAATGAGTCGCACTTTCCACGTCTCCACGGCCGGCACCGTGTGCCAGAAATGCAGCAGCAGCTTATTCCTCTCTGTTCTCTCCCCCTTCCTCCACTTCCCCCCTCTCCCTCCTCCCCTAT